GATTTTAAAGAATTTAACACGAAATAATGATCATGAATTATATATATTCGTCAAATCCAACTAGTGGTTTATCATCAATGCTGCGTTCTGATTGGATGAGCTATAACTAGGCTATTAGGTCATAGCCTACTAGTAGCAAAAAGGGCCGACTTTTAAAACCAAAACATTCAATTTAACTTTAACTCAAAACCTACTTGCATGTACATCTTTGACAGACTAGTTATTTTTGACAATTATTGCTYTCGCCGTCACGGCCTGTAACTCTATAGCTTAATTATTCGGACTCGAGGACTAAATGCCAAATACACAGTCATGCCAGTGCCACAACCATATKCAGTTGCTATGAAGTACCTAGATGGACCCCTCTAATATATGATKCAATTTTTCCCGCCTGTAATATTTTATATTAGTATCTACCTTATCACTKTTGTTCGCAGATTTGAAGGTGTGCCACAGATTATCAACCATACTGTAACTGATAGTGTAGTTCGTGACCCATCTATCCATGGTGTGGTCACCCTGTGTTGCTATACCTGTCACTGTCATCGCWTGTCCCAGGTTAATCTGTATGTACTGAGTGTTATTTGAGTTGCCACTACACCATGAACTACYTCCATAGAGACGACCATGTGATGCAGTATGGTTGTTGTYAAGGTTAGACAATGAAGTCATCTGGMTGTCTTGAATGACGCCAGGTGCCTGAAGTCCAACAGGAGTACTGCAAGCTGTAATGTACGTGTATTARGTTAATATTGTTTTCTGWGTGTCTTTTGAAAATCGTCAACAATGGATACTTACTAGATGATACCCCATATACCTCCACTCTCAAGGATGGCCAAGAATGAAAAGTTAATGGATAGATTCGTATGAACTTGGCCTTGATGGGATGACTAAGACTGTYTATCACAACTTGGTCTCTATTTGTGTTACCAGTAAATGTCTAGGACGAATATATTTTAAACAAAAGTTCCTCATTAAAAAAAMAMCCCAAAAGTTYTATATGTTWTAGTAAAAGACACCCTGACTGTGTMTCTTATTACMTATTTACCTTGTTAATGTTATTTTCCTGATAATAATTCCAATTCACATTATCCAGGGACACTTKTATCTTGTATGATATTGTCCACTCATTATTAAGATCTCCAGCACCTTGTGTAGCTACTGCACACACAAACACCACAGAACCGAGGTCTACCTGCAGCCAGTCACCACCAGACGTTGTTAGTGGTCCCCAGGCTTTACTGGATGTTGATAGTCTTGCAAAGTGTGGCTTATAACGGTTATCATAATATGAACTGGCAGTAAACCTGTGATCTGGTATGATACTAGAGTATGACAAACCAAAGACCATGGACGCGCAGGCTGTGGGGAAAAAATCATACTCCAAATTACTTTTCCATACTTTATTATCTTCTGGACTTTACTAATAATAGCCAAGGGAACATCACACAAAAAAAACACAACCAATTCAAAATAAGCAGTTTCCTTCTTTTCTTGAGTAGTCCCAAGTAAAAGTGCAACATTTGTAATTGATATTTTACTGCTTCGCCTTACAAACTCGTTTTGGCAGATCCATCAGCGCTGGCCATGGTCAGCGCCTTTTGTGGCTAGCTGTAAAACACCATGTAGAAAACCATGCCAACAGGGCCAAGGCCCATCGGAATATACTTTTTTTTGAAATTTAGGCATAAACATATTTTAATCTACCATTTACTTAATAAATTAAGTAAATTTGCATTATTAAATTAAGTAAAGGACTCCCAAAAATGTCGTTTTACTCTAAAACTTGGGAGATTATCGAGTAAAATACTAGGTAAACACGAAGTAATAATACAATATAAGGTTGAAGCGCCTCAATTTCTCCGACGTTGTCGCCCACGTCGCCGTCCTGCAGCTCACGATCTCTATTATCTGAATTATTCGACTCCGTCATATGTAAACTCTAATTGTTTAATCTTTTCAATTCCGTTACCCTGACTTGGGTACCGCATCGAACAAAAAAGCAGTAACAGAAAAAAAATATACAAAAAATGTTGATTCAGGGATAATCCAATTTTAATGTACCATTTACTTTCGAAAATATTTGGAACAAATTAGAAACTAAACCTACCTCCAATGTGTTTCATAATTCCATAGAGTTCTGTTCTCAAGCAGTTTGTACTCCCAAAGTGACTTGTGGGTGCAACACGTATGTACTGAGTAACCSTACCATCTAACAAGAGATTCTTGACAGCAGTATTAGAGTCCAAGTTACCAGTGAATGACTATGGGAATAGGTAATGATATTTTAGTAAAGGAAACAATTACAGGTAGCAAAAAAAAAAAAACCAATGTTAATCATGAGAAAGGAACGTCAGGAACTGAAAAAGGACGAAGGCGTTAGCCATGACCGATTCCTGTAGTGTACTGCTGATAAARTCATATGGCTTTTCCAACAAGTAAAACAATTTACCTTCACTTGGCTGTTGTCCATGTATTTCGTAAAAGTAGATCCGTCATTTGATGTGAGCATGTGATAAGACTGTACCCACTGATCTGTCATGTGGTCACCCTGTGTTGCTATACCACAAATGATGTAAGTTGATCCTAAGTTAATCTGTAGATATGGAGAAGAGTCATTTCTAGCAGCACACCACGATGACCCTGCTATGTAGTTTAGTCTTGCCTTGGATGGTGACGTGGTACTGTTGTAAGCTGATGATGACGTCATACCAATGTCTGGAATATTACCACTACCAATACCAACTGGTAGAGAGCTGCACAACAAACCTGCAATAATATTAAGTGCAGACTCTTTTCAGACTAGTTATATYTAAATAGGGATTTTTCAAATTGATTGTTTTAAGTATGAAGACTTTTGYTTGATTTTTTTTAAAGGATCTACTATTATTGATGTTATTATTACTAATTAATTAATAATTGAAAATTAGAYGGATTCAGAGTGAGAACATTGTCACCCAAACTTACCTCTGCGAACACCATAAGCTTCAACACGAAGTACTTTCCACTTGTTATAAGTAGTGGGTATAAACCTGATGTGTCTGACCAGAACTGAATAATCTAGGACATTCTTGACAACAGTATTACTATCTGTATTACCAGGAAACAACTAGAAGAAA